ATGGGTTTTAAAAGTGATTTAGATTGGAAGACGTGGAATTAATTATGTGTTAAGAGAGGTGAATTTATGCGTTTCACTCTTTAACTAATCTTTAAATAAAAAAAAAAAATAATATTTGAATTTTTTTTTGAAAATATAATAATATACAACAAAAATTTAATTTAACTAATTTTTAAGTAGCAATATTTGAAAGATTTTCGAAAATACAATAATATATAACAAAAATTTAATTTAACTAATCTTTAAATTAAAAAAACAACAATATTGGAAAGATTTTAGAAAATACAATAATATACTATAAAAATTTAATTTAACTTATTTATAACTTAAAAAAAGTAATAATATTTGAAAGATTTTTAAAAATACAATAATATAAAACAAAAATTTAATTTAACTCATCTTTAAATAAAAAAAATGGGGGATTTTCGAAAATATAATAATATACAATAAAAATTAAAATTAGCTAATATTTAACTAAAAACAGAGAAAAGATTTTCGAAAATACAATAATATAAAACAAAAATTTAATTTAACTAATCCTTAAATAAAAAAAGCAGCAATAATGAGAATATTTTTGAAAATACAATAATATACAACAAAAATTTAATTTAACTAATCTTTATATAAAAAAAAATAATATTTAAAAAAAATTCTAAAATACAATAATATTCAACAAAAATTTAATTTAACTAATCTTTAAATAAAATAAATCAGAAATATTTGAAAGATTTTCGAAAATACACTAATATATAATAAAAATTTAATTTAATTAATCTTTAAATAAAAGAAAGCACCTTTGAAAGAATTCGAAAATACAATAATATACAACAAAAATTTAATTTAATTAATCTAAAAATAGTAATATTGGAAAGATTTTAAAAAATACAATAATATACCACACCAATAAAATTAAATAATCTTTAAATAAAAAAATATCGGAAAGATTTTCGAAAATACAATAATATACAACAAAAATTTAATTTAACTCATCTCTAAATAAAAAAAACAACAATATTGGAAAGATTTTCGAAAATACAAAATTTAATTTAACTAATCTTCAAATAAAATAAAAGCAGCAATATTGAAAAGATTTTCGAAAATACAATAATATACCACCAAATTTAATTTAACTAATCTTTAAATAAAAAAACAACAATATTTGAAAAAATTTCGAAAATACAATAATATACCATAAAAATTTAATTTAACTAATCTTTAAATAAATAAAAAACATAAATATTTGAAAATTTTTCGAAAATACAATAATATACAACAAAAATTTAATTTAACTAATCTTTAAATAAAAAAAGCATAAATATTTGAAATTTTTTCGAAAATACAATAATATACAACAAAAATTTAATTTAATCTTTAAATAAAAGAAACAGCAATATTGGAAAATTTTTCAAAAATACAATAATATATAACAAAAATTTAATTTAATAATTGGTTAATATCTTTTATATGGAATTAGTAACTTAAACAAATATTTAACTTTGTGTGGACCTGCAAATCCCGAACGGAAATGGGAGTTACATGATCAACATTAAAATTTTAAAAGTGATTTAGATAGGAAGGTGTAAAATTAATTAATTATGGGTTAGGAGAGGTAGAATTAATTAATTATGAGTTAAGAGAGATAAATTTATGCGTTTCACTTTTTCGCTAAGCTATTGTTAGACACTTATAAATGAAAAATCAAGCTTGGTGAGGGATTGCAACGCAGGATTGTTCCTTCCATTTTCAGTTGCATATTGCTGACATTGGAGTTTCCGCTATTGGGTTATGTATGTTGTTTTCTTCCCGTTCTTCCATTTTCTTTGAGTTCTTGTAGCTTTTCCAAGTCTTTCTCTGTTTTTTTCTCGTGGGTTTCGAGTGTTTAATGAAATGATCAATACATCAGGGCTTTTTGCGACATAAGCTCTGAGTCTAAGGACAAAGCATTCATTCTTAGGGAGCAATTTTCGATGTGGGTTTGGATCATATGGTTGTGTAGCTAATAAGGTAATATTCTGCTCTACTTCCATTGGGGTAGAGACGGTTTCGTTGAAAATATAATAATATACAACAAAAATTTAATATAACTAATCTTTAAATAAAAAAAAGCAGCAATATTAAAAAAAAAAATTCGAAAATACAATAATATACCACAAAAAAAATTAATTTAATTAATCTTTACTAAAAGAAGGTAGAAATCTTTGAAAGATTTTCGAAAATACAATAATATACAACAAATTTTAGTTTAACTAATCTTTAAATAAAGAAAGCAGCAATATCGGAAAGATTTTCAAAAATACAATAATATACAATAAAAATTTAAAGCAGCAATATTGGGAAGATTCTCGAAAATATAATAATCTACCACAAAAATTTAATTTAACTAATACTTAAATAAAAAAAGCAGCAATTTTCGAAAATACAATAATATACAAAAAAAAAAAAAAAAAAATTAAAAT